GTGTAGGGACAGGGAAAAGGAAGGGGGAAGGGTGTAGGGACAGGGAAAAGGAAGGGGGAAGGGTGTAGGGACAGGGAAAAGGAAGGGGGAAGGGTGTAGGGACAGGGAAAAGGAAGGGGGAAGGGTGTAGGGACAGGGAAAAGGAAGGGGGAAGGGTGTAGGGACAGGGAAAAGGAAGGGGGAAGGGTGTAGGGACAGGGAAAAGGAAGGGGGAAGGGTGTAGGGACAGGGAAAAGGAAGGGGGAAGGGTGTAGGGACAGGGAAGAGAAGGGGGAAGGGTAATAGGGAAAAGGAAGGGAGTAGGGACAGGGAAATGAGGAGGGACAGACAGAGAAAGAGGGAGGAGAAAGGAAAGGGGTACATGGAAATGGGGAGGGACAGGGGAAGGGAAAAGGAAAGGAGGAAGGGGGGAGGCAAAGAAAAGGGGGAGGGACAACACTCGTCGCTGTGTGTATGTGGTGGAGCGGGACACGCTCATCATTGTTGACGTGGCCATCCGTTGGCATCGTTGATGTTGTCTGTTGGCATTGTCATCTGTTGGCGGCGTCGTTGTCGTCGGCCGTTGGCGTCGTCATCCGTTGGCGTCGTCCGCATCTGTTGGCTTCATTGTTGTCTGTTGGCGTCATTGTTGTCTGTTGGCGTTGTTGTTGTTGTCTGTTGACGTGGTCATGCACGTCGTTGTTGGCATGGGCATGTGTGTCCGTTGATGTCGTCATGCGCATCGTCGTTGGTGTGGGCGTGGGCGTCCATTGACGTGGTGGGCCTCGCGTTGGGGTGGTGTAGTTGTCATTGGGTGGTGGGCGACGAACGTAGACGGCGGTGGTGCTTGGTTCATTGCATGGGTGCTCGTTTGTTGTGTGACATGGCGCTCGCGTGTCATCCTGGCTGCGTTGCAATGTGCAGTCGTCATTGAGAGCGGTGGGTGATGAAGGTGGATAGCGGTGGGTGACGATGGTGGATAGTGGTCGGCGTTGGTGAAAGTGGGTAGGGGGTGATGTGAACACTTCAGTCACCCATTTTAGGGTACCTATGAGGTACATCAATTCCTTGATTTAGGGTACCTTGAGGGTACCCATTCCAGGGTGGTATATGAGCTCAATACCAATACCATGGTACCATGGAATGGAAAACCCATACCATATCCCACTCATACCAATACCATGTTACCATACCATACCATGTCATCTCATACCATACCAAATGATCTCATACCATACCATACCATCA